CACGAGTAGCAATTCCTGGTATGCTCATCCGTGCCTCCAATGTACGGTCGGTAGAGCGCGTGATTGTGTTGTAGTAGTCCGCATCTCTCTCATTTGTTGACACCTCGTGTTGGTTGGCGTTCTCCTGCATCGTCGAAGTTACGCTGATGCTTGTAACGCTTCGGCTTCTGGTAGAATCGCCTCCAATGCATGTGCCGTAGGGTCGCTAGTGAACGAATATTTGCCGGATTCGATATTAATTACTCCTCAATCTGTCAAGCATTGTGACATGCATGGAAAATGTTTCCACATAACATTAACAACTGGAATCGCGACGCATGATCGGTGTGTCGCCTCGTAAGGTTGATGTTGAGACTGCTCCAATCAATCACTTCGGATGGCTAAGATTCTTGATGAAGACGAATCGGTCAGCTCCTGTTACGAAATAGTGTCTCGTTGGCCTTGACGAGACGGGTTCACTGCGTCGTCGTTGCGTGCGAAATCTGCTCCTTCGCAGCAACTTGAACTTGGGAGCATTGCAAGAGAAAACGGCTACTTCTCTGCAATCCCATAGGTTGTCGATCAAATTTATGACATGAAGTGTCTCATTGATAGAGAAAATGTCTTCACCCATCTCCTTTTTTTTTTTTTTTTTTTTCCTGGGTGAAGATCTCACGGTGTCGATGTCGATCCATTTTTAACCAATAGAACTTCGTCAAAATAAGTTGATCCTCATCGACACTAGTTAGAAGATGCGTCGATTGTGCAGTCGCTGATCACGAATGTTGTCTCCATGATGATGCTTTTCCGTAGTGTAGTCTCCGCTGCATTCGTGCCGTTGATTCCGCACCGATCCAACGATCCACGTTCTCCTGTCAGTTTTCTGCTTGCAGCTATTACCAAGTAGGTCATTCTTCGGCAGGTTTCTGACTCTGCAGATGATTTCGCGCCCCAAATGCGTGACCAAATGGAGGATTCCGAAGTTGGCTGTCCAGATGAAGAAAACGGTGTCGAAGGTGGCTGATATTTTGTTCTCTGCGTCATTCTCCCTTCTAGCAGAACTCGCGCTCCATCTCGTCCGTTAAAGTAGAAGACGATCCGACGGTCCAAAATCCAAGCGATCTGAAGTTAATTCTGAGTCACGTTCAGCAAATTTCGGTGCTAGATGAAGTCGTTTGCTGCAGCAATTATCGGTCGTCGATGTCGAATGTCGAACGATCGGACGCTCCGAAGAATTTCGCGGCTTGCGAGGTTCCGTTCCCATTTGCGCTGAAACTCGAACTCGCTCAGAAGATTTCGTTTTCGCCTCGGTCGATCTGAAGCGTCGAATCCCCATCGGACGGATGTCATCGGTCGAAGCTCCGCAGATTTCCGCGCAACTCCAAGTGTTGTGGCGAACTGCAACCTTCTCCGAATGTCGCAGGGAGTGTTCCGCCAGTAGTGACGCATTCGCGAGGTCAAGGCCGTTTGCCCCCGCGAAAAAATCGGCTCCGTCGATGCAGTCCATCGAACGGTTGGCGAGGCATCTCGCCTTCGATAGGGTCCCAAGGTGCAACTTCACGAGGTTAGTCGAAACTCAAATAAAAGTGCATTGTACGTACAGGAATTGAAGTTTCGACTCCATCCTCGACGTACTCCTGGGGGCCCAGCGGCTAAGCGTTGAGCTGAAACCTTGGCTCTGATTGCCAAGTGTCACATTATCGAATGAGGTTTGCTCAATCTTGCACTATCCATGAGTACAAGGTGTTTTTATACTTCCAGAGTACATCAGGTAACCGGGTTAATCCTATCCAAAGGGAATAGACCCTTCTAGAAATAGAATCACCATGTGTATAGCCACGCGAGGCTATTGGCTTTAAGGGATAACGGCAGGATTGCGCTAGATATAGCGCGCCAGTACATCCCGAGCCTGGTCGGTGATATAATCATAATAACATGATAAACCAAAGTACACTACAGTCAGGTGCCTTTTGGTGATGGCCATATCCATCAAATGGATGTGAAGAATGCCTTCTTGTATGGTAAGTTTGATGAAGAGATTTACATGGAGCAGCCTAAGGGTTACTCCGATGGTACCAACAAGGTATGTAAATTGTTAAAGTCCCTCTATGGGCTTAAGCAAGCACCACGAGTCTGGTTTCACACACTTGAGGTTGCACTCCTGTCCCAAGGTTTCACTAAGTCACAGTTCGACCATGCACTGTACCTGCTACACACAAGTGAAGGGGAGTCCTTGTGGCTCCTAGTCTATGTGGATGACATCCTCCTTGTGTCAGCATCACTGAGTCTCCTCACACGCATCAAATGTATGCTCACCCAAGACTTCATCATGAAGGACGTGGGTGAGCCCTCCCACTACCTTGGTATGAACATCCTCAAAGATCGCCCATCCAAGTCTCTCTTCATCTCACAGCAAAGGTACACTAAGAAGGTTCTCTCAAGGTTTGGTCTCCTCGACTGCAACCCTGTCAAGACACCCCTTCCATCCGAATTCTTGCTGAGCTCATCCGAGCAAAGCATTGATCCATGTCGACAACCCCTTCTTCTTGTCTGAAACCTAACTAAACTAGGAAGTAGCGAAGCCCGCCATGAAATGGCGGGAGGGGTTTAGGTAGGAGGGAAAAATGTCGAGAGAGAAGGTGATATTGACTATAACAGAATGAGGTACCAGAAGGGGGTTGTCCCCTCTACAGTAGGATGCAGTTAGTAGCATAACTACCAAGCCTAGAATTATATAAAATATAGTTGAACACACCCCCTAGGCTTGGTAGTAGGAAGACCCATACACCCCCACACCCCCGAATCTAGCACCCCCATTCCCAGCAGCCACGTCTACTCCAGCAGAGCCAACCCCAAGGCTCTGGATATGGTGATGGCGGCAGCCACGACAGCGGCGACAGCGGCGGCGACGGCGGTGTGCGGCGGCAACAGGCCTGCAGCGACGGCGACGTCGGCGGCGACTTCGACTTATGACTGCGGCGACGGCAGCGGCCCCCGCCCTTTCGGCGGTGTGTCCGAGCTCCGCGACAGGGGGACGACCGGTGGGAGTCAGAAGGCTGTGGCGAAGAGGAGGGGACGAAGGGAAGGTGGAGGGGGCGGGGCTTCAGGTCTTCAGAGCGGCGCCATTGCTGGCGCGACGCTTACTGGCGTGCGGGCGGGCTGCAAGTCCACCAGCTGCGCACGTGTTATGCGGCGGCTGCAGCCCGACGACGCTGCCGCGACACCATTACGACGCCGCCACAGCATGGCGTCGGTGCTGCGGCTGCTCGTCGAAGCTGAGACGGCAGCACTAAAAGGCCGCCGCATCATCACGGAAAAGATGCCGTGGCGGCAGGCAGGCGGAAAGCTGCAACGGCGGCGAAGAAACGACGGGAACGTAGCGGAAGCGTAGTGAGCAGGCCCGGGACGGGTGGCCTGCTCTGATACCATGTCTGAAAGCTAACTAAACTAGGAAGTAGGGAAGCCCGCCATGAAATGGCGGGAGGGGTTTAGGTAGGAGGGAAAAATGTCGAGAGAGACGGTGATCTCGACTAGAAAAGAATGAGGTACAAGAAGGGGGTTCTTCCCTCTACAGTAGGATGCAGTTAGTAGCATAACTACCAACCTACAATCATATAAAATATTATTGAACACTTCTCTTGTCAAACATAACTTATGTTATTATTGTAGACTATACAGGTTTGTGCCTTAGAGGGTACAATACACTAGTCTATATTGCCCTGTATCTTCCTATTCTAGTCATTCTCTCTTTCTAACATGGTATCATGAGTAGTCACACTTGGTGCGCCAGGTCCTTCAGAGGTTCGGCCTTCAGTTCTCCTCCGCACAGCCCACTCCTCTGCCTCTAGACCACAGGCTCTCCGCTCCAGTTCCTGAGGAGTCAGTAGAGCCCAGTGGTCCTTACGCAGAGCTGGTGGGTTGCCTCATGTACCTGATGACTTGTACTCGCCCATATCTCGCATACCCTCTTAGCATCCTGGCTCGCTTTGTGGCCACTGGCAGACACCGACCCCAGCACTGGTCTGCCGCTAAGAGGGTTTTGCGTTATCTTGCAAGTACATCCGGCATGGGGTTAGTGCTAGGAGGACGCAGGCCAGTGGTCCTTACTGGTCACACAGACGCTTCTTGGGCAGACAACGCCGAGATCCTCAGGTCCTCGCAGGGCTACTGCTTTGGCCTTGGTTCAGGTGCCGTCTCGTGGAGAGCTACCCGCTCCTCGTCTGTTGCCCAGTCCAGCTGTGAGGCCGAGATCTACGCCGGTGCCATGGCGGCACAGGAGCTCCGCTGGCTAACCTTCTTGCTCACTGACTTAGGTGAGCAGCCTAGCTCTGCCCCGGTCCTGTACGCTGACAACAGGGCCATGATCCTCTTGTGTCAGGAGCCTCGACTCGAGGGCAGCACGAAGCACATCCAGCTGCGGTACTTCCTCGTGCGTGAGCTACAGCAGTGTCGCCAGGCTCGCGTAGTACACTTGGCCTCCGGTGCCAACACAGCTGATATCTTTACGAAGGCGCTTGCGCCTAAAGATCATCAGCGGCACTGTTTACAACTATGCCTCGTTCCTCTAGTCTCTCACTTGCTAGGGCCTTGACTTTGTACTGCCCTTTATATATATTTTACCCTGACTGGCCTTGTGGCCTCTCTCAGTGGCTGGACTTGTGAAACTGCCCCTATATAGTCTAAGGGGTGTGTCAAACATAACTTATGTTGTTATTGTAGACTATACAAGTTTGTGCCTTAGAGGGTACAACACACTAGTCTATATTGCCCTGTATCTTTCTATTCTAGTCATTCTCTCTTTCTAACATCTCTCTCGACATTTTTCCCTCCTACCTAAACCCCTCCCGCCATTTCATGGCCGACTTCCCTACTTCATAGTTTAGTTAGCTTTCAGACAATGAAGACAACATTCAGCTTGCCAAGCACATGAGCTTGCTTCGTTTTCCGTTTTATAACATTTCTTTGGTCTACCTTTTACCAACCAATGAAGTACAGACAGCACAAACATTTGCAACAAAATCACTGAATACAAGAACAAGTACAACTCTGTACAAGTACAAATGACTGCTACTAACTACATTTGTGTACAGCATCAAATCAACTACTGCATTCTGCACTAACCCTCACGCTTACGCCGTCCTCCAACAGCCTCTGGAAGCATCCTTGCCAGCGGTGACGGCAACCAAGTAGGCTCAGGCTTAGGCGCAAACGGGTTCCATCCACCATTACTCTCCCCGTAAGGCACGTTAATATTCCCAATAGAAGCATGACCAGGCTTGCCACTGTTCTCTCCACCACCACCACTCGCTGCACTGAATGTCCCCCCACGGGCAGAACCTGCCTTGCTGCTCCCTGCCTTGCTGTCACCACCACCAGCCCTGCTACTCCCTGCCTTACTACTCCCCCCTGGAACAGGATAAGAGGCGCTGCTGCGACTGCCATGGTCAGACCTGCTGCTCAACCCTTCTCCACTTCCATCCTGCTGCTTCTCCCTCTCATTGCTCTCCCTCTCCTTCCTCACTCCCCAGCCAAGCAGCTGCAAGGGCGATGGAGGCCCTCCCCTGGTAGCATACCTTGGGGACGCCATACCACCCTGACCAGGTGGCGCATTGCCATTGGACGGGTCTGTGGCATCCTCAGAGTCGTTGTGAGGGGGTTGCAGGAGCGCAGGCATGAAGGGAAGGGAGAGGGAGCGGGAAGCCAGGTAGGCAACGAAGAGAGAGGAGGCGAAGGAGAGCGGCTGCAGCGACCAGTGCACTGCTCCCAACAACTGGGGGAATGGGCAATAACGACAACACAATGCACACACAGGAAAACAGAGAAACAGGAGAGGATATGAGAGACAAATCAGGAAAAAGAAAAAGAGACCCTTGCATTTACCCTAAACAAGCTACTGCGCAAAACGTTTCCTGGAAGTATAACCAGTCTCACCTCCCACTTGTTCTGCAAGCCCTTGCAGGAGCGCAGCCCCACTGCCTGCACATGCTCGGGATGCACCAGCCAGTGGCGGGATGAGTGCCACAAACTACCAGGCAGATGCACAGTCAGAAACCCGTTCGGGTGCACTGTTGCAATGCTGTTGGAGGGGGGAGAGACGGAGTGGGAGGGAGAATGTGTAAAGAGGAGAAACAGCAAGGAAATATGCTATTACCGAGCAAAAAAATATCAAGTCATTTGCACTAAAAGAGTCCTTACCGAGCAGCATGCACACGCTTGCGGCCATTCCTCTTGGCCACACCACCACGTCCACCATTATCACCGAAGTCGTCATTTGGCAGGGACCACGCATGTGCCCATCCATACAGCGGCACTGCCCCCTCCCTCAGCTGCACCATCTGCCCCACACGGTACCCCTCCACTCGCCTCACCTCCCCCCTCTGCGGCTCCAACCCCCCTATCACCCCCTCCCAACCCGCCACTGCCACTTCCACTGCATCCCCAGCCACCCGCTTCACAATCCCCAGAGGAAAGGCCACATTCCACTGCTGCTGCTGCTGGAAACTGGTCGCATTGCCCCCCCTGCTACCAGTTCCTGTGAGGACACCGTATGCAGCAGCGCTGGGACGGGTTGTTGCAACGAGGGCAGCCGCCTCCGGGGAGAGGATCTCGACCCAGTCACCGACTGCAATGCCATGAGTCACCGGCTCGACTTCGGCAGGGTCCACACGCCAGAGGGCAGGAGAGTCGTTGACTCGCACACCTAGCATGCCGTCCCTACTGTCCACCACTGTCACCACTCCCTCGCTGCAACGGGGGGGAGGGGAAAGGGGAAACAGGGAAAAGAGGGGAAAAATAAATGAGCCCCGTGCGACACCGTGCATGCCACCAACTGGTCGCATTCCGTCACTACCGTCATACCACCATCATATGAAAAGGGGAAGGGGGGAGGAAAGCGGCGAGACATGGGAAGAAGGGTTGAACAGAAACGATGGGCCAATGACCCCATTAAACATACAAGCCACACACATCATCTCCCCTTTCAGCTTACCTGCTTCTGCTGTTCCCGCGCCAGCCAAAGCGAGGATTTCCCACTCCTCTTTTCACGCGCACCCGATCACCACATTGGAAAGGCTGCTGCACACACACACACACACACGCACACACACACACACACACGCACACACACACACGCACGCAAATCATGTGAAAACAGCAACACCGAATGTTAATTCCCTTTCCCCCCATTTAACCCGTCTTCCCAGGTGAAACCGGCAGCATGACTACTGCCCAGCAGCATCAACACTCCCTGCCCTACCCCTACCCCCCACACACCTCCACAACGCCCAAGACACCCTTGCACGGGTATGCCACCAGGTCACCCGGGCGCATGTCACACAGCTGCACTGCCACCACCACCTCCCCTGCCCGCACTGCTTCCCCCCATTCCGGACCCACCCTTCCCTCTACCCTCTACCCTCTACCCTCTAACCCTGTGAATGAACTCACCTCCACAATCCCCAGAACGCTCTTGGACGGATATGCAACCAGATCGCCCGGGCGCTTGTCGCACAGCTGCACTGCCACCACCGCTTCCCCTGCTCGCACTGCCGCCACCACCCCCACCCTCTGCTGCTGCTGGTGCAGCTTGTGCGGAGGGGCGGACGGGGATGCGGGCACACGCACCCAGTCCCCAGGCAGGTACTGACTCGTCGGACTGGGGAACAGGGGAGGGGAAGGGGAATAGGGGACAGAGGAGACGAGGGGGGGGGGAAGGGGAACAGGGGGCACGAGGGGGGGTGGGGGAACGGCGCACGTAGGAGTGTAACGGCGTCATTGGGTACTGCACGCCACAATACACTCCACACGACACACTAAATGCCCGTTCAAACCCGGGGAGCCACCCACCGGGAGCACCCCTGAAACCAAACCCTACCTACCAACGACCCAGCAACCAAGCCAAACCACCCACCGGGTGAATGCGCGCAGAAGCGTGCGGAAAGACGGGCGCCTGAAGGGGTCGCTGTGGAAGCAGCACAGCAGCACCGCCTCCAGCTCCAACGGCAGCTGCTGCAGCGCCACCAAGTGCACCGGTGACACACACCGTTGCACGCCACTATACCCCCACAGGACACACTGAAGGCCAGTCTAACCCCGGGGAACCACCCACCGGGGGAACTACCCAGCAACCAAACCATGCCCCTCACCGGGTGAACGCGCGCAGGAGTGTGCGGAAGGAGGGGCGCTTGAGTGGATCACTGTGGAAGCAGCGCAGCAGCACCGCCTCCAGCTCCAGCGGCAGCTGCTGCAGCGCCGCCAGGTGCAGCGGTGACACACACGGCGGCACGGACGCGGGAGACGAGGGGGACGAGGAGGAGGAGGAGGAGGGGGTGGAGGCGGAGGGGAAGCGCTTGCAGTGCTCTGCCATGCGCCGGTGATGGTGGCAGTGGTGGCGGTTGTGCGGCGCGTGGCACGTGATGGCGTCATGCATCTCCTCCATTGACATGCCGTGGCAAAGGGGGATGCCTGATGTGACGGAGAAAGCGAGGCGGGGGGGACAGGGATTAGGGAGAATGAGTACAGAGGCGAGGAAGGGGGTGCATCTCCTCCATTGACATGCCGTGGCAAGGGGGAATGCCTGGCGGGAGGGAGAGGCGACGGAGGAAGAGGAGGGGGGGGCAGGGATAGGAACAAGGGGCGATGAGAAGTGAGGCAAGGAGATTTGCGGAGTGCATCATAGCTTTTAGCAAGCATGGCGGGGATCAAGAGCATCAGACATCCATCTACGCCCTTTCCCACCTGAGATCATATGCAGGGCAGCACACGCAAAGCCCCATGCATCTGTACCCTCCACCAGCGGTCCGTTCACTGCAGCCGCCCACTGCTCTGGCGCCATGTACGCGGAAACTCCCGCCCACACCGTAGAAGAACCCTCCACATGCTGCTGCTGCTGCTGCTGCTGCTGCAGGTGTTGCAGCTGGGAGTTTGTTCCAAGGGGGCTAGACGGAGTAGAGGCGCCTGCAGTTGATGCTGCGGCTACTTCCGGAATCGGGGAGAAGGGGTCCGCATGCATTTCTGCACCGAGTCAGACGGGAAGGAGAGTCGACAAAAGCCACGCGTGAGCTGAGTACATGAATTAAGATGCATGGAGCTGTGCACACCCATGTGCGCTGTGTCTGCATCTGCAGATGTGCATTAGGTGAACCCCCATCATCTCTAAAACCCACCACCCATCGCAATGCTCTCTCACCTGCAAGCGCCCATGGGAGGCCAGGCGGAGCGAGGAAGACGGAGTCATCGTTGTGGGAGTGCAGGAGGAAGTTGGAGGGGCGCAGATTCAGAGCCAGCACGCCCTGCTCGTGCAGCTGCTGCACCGCCCCGCACACAGATGCACCGTACCTGGACAGAGGAAGACAAGCACGCAGAGGAAAAGGCAGATTCAGAAACTTTGGAGGGTTAAAAGCAAAGCGAGTGGCTTCAATTTCACCTTTTCGCACAAATTTAAGGTTCAACCGGAAATAATCAGACCTCAACCTTGCAGCAGACATCCTCGCGGCCTCGCCGCTGCGAAGCACCAAGACGCACCTGAGGAATAGGTGAAACGGCAGGCGGTTCCCTGGCAGCTTCTGCATCATGTCAGCGATGGACTTGTCGAAGAGCGGTGAGACCACTGCCACCTGATTCACGATCCACGCAAGTCGCGTAGGTACCACACAGGGAAGGGAAGGGAGAATCACTTAGGCGGAAAGCCGAGGCAGAAACGAACGTGGCAGTGTCAGCAAACCCTTCCCCCCATCCAAGCACATGCACTGGACTGAGCTTCCCAACCACCCTTAAAACCCCCCCCCCTCTCTCCATGGCCCTCTTCATGTACTACTGCATCAGCACAGCATACCTTAGTTCCCCACATTCTTACCTGGTGCACTCACACGATCACGCCCTTACCTTATCCATGCACCCAGCCAGGTGCACGCGGCCACCGAGCACCTCCTCGCAGCCTCTCAGCGCCATCACCAGCCGCTCAAGCCGGTCCATGCTGCCCGCTGCTGCTGCCGCTGCAGGCGAGGCAGACGGAGCAGTCGCAGATGCCGCAGACCCAGGGGACGATGTAGTAGCAGGGGTGATACCAGAAGATAGTGATGCAGCAGCAGCAGCAGGCGCGGTAGCAGCATGGTGAGGAATGGTGTGAAGGACTTTCACAGCCACAGGGTGCTCGTACGGGGACCGTGACCCCGCCCCCTCCATGCTCCCCTCACTCCCCGCGCTTGTCAGCCCCATGCCGCCGCTGCTGCTGCTGCCGCTGCTGGTGCCGCCCCTGCTGGGGCCGCCGCTGCTCCTGCTGAAGTCAGCACCATTGTCGTCGCTACCGCCACCGACGTTTGTCCCGATCCTCACGTGTCCACGCACCACGCCCTGCCACGTGTCTCCAAAGTCACCTGAGCCAATCTTTCTGGAGAGATGCAGCCTGCACCCCATCAGCCAGGGGGAATCAGTGCGAGAGTCACTGGCCGAGTCACAGGCGGCTCTCTGCTGCCTCGCCCTGCTGCCACGCTCCACCTCCACATCAGCGGCAGCACCACCACGACCATCGCGGCTGCCCACGGCCCCATACCCACTCCCACCACCACCACTGCCCGTGCCGCCGCCGCTGCCACCACCACCGCTGCTGCTAGCTCCGGCCAAGTAAGAAGAGCTGCTGCTTCCACTGCTCTCCCTGCGCCAGTTGCCCTCCCTGCTGCCCGTCACCATAGCAGCAAAGCGGAAGGCGCTGAAGGGGCTTTCGGGAGTCGGAGTGCGGTAGGCGCTTGCACGGCTGTCAGATGCTGCAGAATAGTAGGCGCTTGAGGGGGTGCTGGGACCAGTAGAGGGCGAAGCTACCCCTCTCCCTTGCCCCCCTCCCCCTCCTCCTCCTCCTCCTCCTCCGCCACCGCCCTCGCCACCAGCCCTCGGCTTCCCATTGTCACCATGCGCACCCATGCATGGGGGGCTGGGCACATGCTCGTGCGCTGCTGGTCTGGTGAACGCAGCATGGTCGTCGTGCGTGCTGGGTTTGGTGCACACATGCTCGTGGTGCAGAGGCACCTCGTCGCCAAACAGCTTCTCAGCCGCACACCCGCTAGCCCACACGCCATGCGCGTACGGGGCTTCCACTGGCACAAAGGAATCCTCGTCCTCCTCTTCCTCTTGAGACTTTCGCCGTTGCTGCAACCCCCCCTTCTGCTGCTGCTGCTGCTGCTGCTGCTGCTGCTGCCCCGCCCCTCCTCCCTGGTCCGCCTTCCCTGGGGGTCCGCTCCACGTGAGGCCACTGCCAGCGTAGTGCCTTATCTCCGAAACAGTGGGCTCTAGGGACGATACAACAGGCGGCACAGGCATGTCCACAAGCATCTCGTAACGCCGGGGCTCGGGGCGCGACGGTGCTGATGCAGCAGATTCGGCGGCAGCTGGTGCGGGCAACTGCTGCTGCTGCTGCGGTGGCGGAGTGTCTTGAGGCGCCTCAAAGTACCTGCGGAAGGGCACGGGCTCCAGCTCTGGTATGACAGGCGGCACAGGCATGTCCACTAGCATCTCAGACCGCCGAGCCATGGGGCGGGGAGGAGTACCAGACCCCGCAGCAGAGGACGGCTGCTGCTGCTGTGGCTGCAGCAACACTCGATCATGTAGCGGGGACGGTGAAGGCGTTTTCAGCTGAGGCGACTCACCTTGCATCCCAATCATGCGACCATCCCCTTCTTCCTCCCCTCCCTCGCTTCCCTCCTCCCACTCAAACTCCGGGCACTCTCCCCCCCCTATGGTGCCTGCTGCTGCTGCGCCCCGCCCCTGTGCAAATCCCGGGCCTTCCACCCGGCCTGCTGGTCCCGGTGGGGAAGATCCAAGCGAATCACTGCTGGGCTGTGGCGCCGCCGCTCCTTCCTTGCTGCTCGCCTTAGAGGTGCCTCTGGGAGTGAGAATTGACCCCGCTGCAGCAGCAGCCGCGGATCGGATGTGGCTCAGGCCGAACGACAGGCTCCTCTTGCGGCTGTCCACCTCGGATTGGGCTGCGGCAGGGGGGCTGCTTGGGGGGCTGGCTGGAGTATCCGCCACTCGGGTGCCTGCGCCTCTGCCTGCGAGCACGGCTTGCTTGAACGACTCCTCCTCGGACTGCTTGTCTCCGCCAACCCCGCTGGTAGCGGCAGATCCGCTGGTAGGGGCAGAAGCAGCAGCGGCGGCGGCGGCGGCGGCGGCGGCGTCAGATGAGGGCTGTAAGACGTCCTCCCAGGGGCTATCTCCGAGGCTGGATTCCACTGGGCGCGGCACAGACGCAAGTGCAGACGCAGCAGGCACAGCTGGCACAGCTGGCACAGAAGACGTAGCAGACGCGGCAGACGCGGAAGGGGAGTTCGAGGCAGCGATTGACGCCGCGATGGACGCAGCGACCGTAGGCGCCAAGGCCGTTGGAGCTTCGCCTCCGCCTTCTCCTTCCGGGATGAACTCACTCGCAAGGATCCGACGGCTGCCGCTGCCGCTAACGTTAACGCTGGACGGAGGTGATAACGGCGACGGGTCTCCCCCGCGATTTCCCCCGGGGCGGGACTCCCTCGCCGTGAGTTCCGGAGTGCCCGGGACTATGTCCGGTGCAAACGACTCGGATTCGGGCAGATTCACGGCTGGCGCTGCTGCTGATACTTCCGTAGTAACACGTGGCGCGCCGGTGGTGGCGGTGCTTCCTTCTTCCTCCTCGTTGCGGCTGCGGGTACGATCTCGGGGGTCCCCCTTGCGGTGAAGGGCGGGCGTGAGACCGGCTTCCGGGTCAATCTTCATCCGGTAATCCCGCACCGGTCTGGGGACTGGGGAGAAATCCCGGCGCTCTGAACGCCAGCGGAAAGCGACGGCAGGACAAAGGTAACAGGCAGAGGCAGCAGCAGGAAAGCTCGAGGAGCGAGGAACACTTGTGTCCGAGGAATAGGGTGGAGGATTCCGTGCCGTACTGCGGATAAACGGAAACGAGCGAAGACCAAAGCACCGGTTTTATGAAAATAGGTGATGGCCCCATGGAGAGAATAGACGGAGGCGCTGGGACGCTGAGATAAGGTCCTGGAGGCCCTGAGTAAGCGAGTGCCAAGCGGGTTTGGCTTTGGGCTCACATTCCACCCATGCCGCCAAGTTGCTTCAAAGATTTGGAGATCGCGACGCGGACATCGAGGCGCCATGGCAATGCGTGGGAGGTCCAGAGAAAGCGAGTGCCACGTATGCATGCTGGGTCGCTGAAAGGTCATCTACAAGCCGGACTGCGCCACACAAGAAGCATCCACCATCAGATTCAGCGTGCATGGGGGAGGAAGACAGCTTGCCGCACTGCTCTTACAAGTTGTACCTGTGCTCGTCATAGGTCATTCCGAGTTGAAAAAACAAGGACCTCTGATTCATTTTCACAAATAGAAACCACAACATTACAGCCCAGCTGAACCATGTGATCCTTTTATTATAAATTCGGAACAAACATTCACAACAGTGGAAAAAATCCGTAAGAGTGTAGCCTATCATGTGAAAACCGTAAGAGGTTGAAACGTTTCAACGCATGTTGCCAGCCTTGAGCACGTCGATCATGTTGAACAGAGTCTTGCTGGTATCTCCCTCCTTGATCTGTACAGCAAATCCCATTAAATCCATGCAAAATGCAGAAAATGTTAGCATATAGCAAGTAAGCACAATCAAGGGGAGAAATATTATGTGATATGGCATGGTGGATGGCACGAGCTATGGGGCATATTGCAGACAAGATGCCATGGTGGATGATGAATGTTAGCAGGGGTGGTTGGGGAGCATGACCTTTTGTGCGAGGAAGAGCACGGCATCAATGGCTCCATCGGCATAGATGCTGCGACCGCACACGTTGTGCTGGAACTCAAACGACACACTGCGAGGGAGGGGTGCACGGGGCATTTGCCCACACAAGCACGCACAGAGAGAAAGGGGCGGGGAGAGAGGAAGGGCTTCTTGAGGCATGCAAAACGAAGGATCGTTGTGTGCAATGAGGTGCACATCTGCAGGGACGACAAATGGTGGAGGCCACAAGCTGGGAGGAATGGGGGAGCGGAAGAAGACGAGGGGGGTGACGAGGGCCAGAATATAAACAAAAACGCAAAGAGCTATATTCTTACTCCCTGCTTACAAAAGCCAATGCCTGCTCTTCCCTCACTCTCTTCCCCACCCCCACCCAACTCTCTCTCCCCCCATCCCTTCCACTTGTCTCTCTCGTTGCCCCTCCCTCCCCTCCCCTCCCCCCAGCTCACGTGTTGTCGGGCGAGTCGAGGTGGTAGGTGTGGAAGGCGTGGCCGTTGAGGTAGTTCTCCGGCACGCCCATGCGCGCCATCTGCTCCGACGGGTCGCGCACCATCTCGATCTGCGGACAGCCAAAAGGTGCGGGCAGCGCATGGGGAGGGGAAGAAAGGGGGAGGTGAAGGGGGGAGGGGAGGGGAGGGAAGAGGCACGAACATGCAATCACGCGGAAGCCAGGCGGAGAGGATTTTTCTTCGCGGACGGCGTGTGTATGTGTGTGGGCTTGCTCCGGGTCCGGCTCTGGGAGGTGGGTGTGTGTGCGTATCTCTGTCTGGGTGTGAGCATGGGCGTGTGTCTCAGTGCTTTAGAGCTGGGCGCGAGTTGGGGGACTCACCTTGCTGACGTCATAGTCGACTCCGAGCTTCTGGAAGCACCGGACGGCCTCCTTGGCCGTGCCTGACGTGTCCACCTTAGTAGACTGGTGCGACTCCACCACCTGGAGAGAGGGTGGGGCGAGCACACGCACGGGTGGGAGGGAGGACGGGAACGGACAGATTATGATGCAGGCAGGTTGACGTGGACGGACGTGGACGGACGAGGACGGACGGAGACGGACGGGGACGGACGGAGACGGACGGGGACGGACGGGGACGGGGCTGGCGGCATTGCGCCAGGGGAATATGGATGACCATGTGGGAGACCAGAGCTACGGATGATGGGGGAAAGGAGGATGGGAAAGGTGGAACGGGAGGGACGGAGCGTGTGTTCGGCCAGCAAAACAGCGAACTTGTACGAAGCAAATCCTCAGCCTCACCGTGAGCTTGTATCCGGCATATGCGCCGGGGCACTGCTCCGCGAGCGACTCGAGCGCGGCGAGGAAGGCGACGACCTGCTTGCCCATCTGCGGCGCGATCACCGCCCACAGCTTGCTCGCCTCCACGTCCGCCGCCAGCTTCGCGCGGTCACCGCCCGTCGTGCCCATCACGAAGGGGACCCTGTTCTTGATGTACCACTCCGCGTTGCCTGGGAGAGGGGGAAGGGGGGAGAAGGGGAGGGAGGGGGGGGAGAGGGGGGAAGAGAGAGGGGAAGTGGGGGGGGGATATACGGAGTGAAGGTGGAACGGGAAGATATCCGTTGTTGCATTCTGTCCCTTCCATCGACGAGAGGCTGGTGGACGAGGATGCCATGCCCACTGACGGTTACGACGTACAAGATTCTCCCACGCCCCCCCTGCTACGTGCAATGCTGTCCGCCTTCTTTCTCCGCTCGCTCCCCCTTTCCCATTCTTCCCTTATCCCCGCTCCCCGTTTACCCTGCCCCCCATTTCCCCATCCCCCCATTTCCACATCCCCCGCTCCACCGCACACCATCCATCCCAAGACGCTCACTGTTAACAGCTGCGGGCAGCGTGTAGTCCACGACGATCAGATCCGGGTGCTCCTTCCGCGCCTCCGCCAGCACGGCGTCGCGCTCGTCGGCGGGGAACACGTCGACGTACAGCGACGCGTCATCGTTGTACGTCAGCCGCTCCTTGGGCAGCCCCGGCCCCGTGAGTCCGAACGGCACGATCGGAACGCCCGCGGAGATGGCGGCCTGCGCCACCGCGCGCCCCATCTTGCCCGGCGCGCCGTTGATCTGCGCGGGGGGGGGGGAGGGGGCGGGGGGGGGGGGAAGAGGGAAAAGAGAACGTGGGATTGGATTTCCCCGATCCTCGCGCACGAGCAAGCAGTGAAGCATCAGCTACCAGCGGTGAAGTGTTGTGAAGTGTTGTGAAGTGTTGCACATCAGCGACCACGAGCGAGGGAACTCAAGACCCAGCAGACTTGCGCCTTCGCATTCGCAGGCAGAAACGCGACTGTCCCTCACCAGAATCGGTACTTTCTTGGCCGAGTCAGCCATCGCCACAACCGTCACCGCACCCCTTGACGCGGCAGCCCGTGCCTGCGCGCACGACTGCTGGCGCAGCGGCGCCGCTAGCTGAGCGCTGAGGGAATGCTCAGCGCCGCTCTTGGCGCCGGGAAACCGGAGAGAGCAGCGCGCGGCGGGCCGGCTTTGGCGGCTGTGGGAAATGGGGGTTGCCGCGGGAGCTGGGCAGGCAGCGGTGCGTGCAGCGACGGTTGTCATGGTGAAAGGAGAGATAGCAGGCACAAGCTGCAGTAGCAGGGGGGTAATGCGGACAGTAGACGAACGGAGAATCCGGCGACTAGCAGTCAGCTCACGGAATGTGGAATGTTAAGGTGCTCGTGAACCTGGTCAAGCTAGTCTCAGGTCTGAAGGAATCTCCCTTCCTGTGATAACAGGAAATGTGAAATGAGGATCTGGTCTGGTGAGACTGGTCTGTGAGTGTCCGAGTGAAGAAATGAGGGTCGAGGGTCGATTGAAGGGGAGGAGGGGAAGAGAGCGGCTCGTGGTGGTCCGCCTGATTGTGGGGGCATGCTGCTGTGCTGCCGTGGCATGTGATGTGAGTAAGATTTTACGTCAGTCGGGGCTTGCGTGGCGCTGGCACGGATGCCGCGTTTTCGTGGTTCGCTGGTTCGGCCGGGATCTGGCGAGTCTGCGACGAGCAGTTTCAGCGGGAGGCGGAGGTAAGGTGGGGGCGACCAATCGCTGTTGTTCACGCCGTTAGTAATTGGCTCGGAAGAAAGATCGTGGCCGTCAAGAGGGCTGACTTGGGATGAAGCTGAGCTGGAGCCATATTTTGTTCCGAGCGTCGCTGACCAGGTTGCTGATGTGGACCATGCCTCATTTGTGGTTGACTCGTGAAAATATGCAAGAAGCCAAGGAGAGAGACATGAGCATGCTTCCCAGCTGCCAACAATGATTTTTTATTATTTTAGTTTTGGAGTTCTAGTATGAGTGATTTGGAGGGCTGTCAATGATAAACTCTTCAACGACTATCATAGGAAAATAAGCTACATGATTCAGATTTTACAACGGCTACGTGAGCTGTTGAAAGAGACGTCCAAAATGGCATGGATTTTGCAGCTAGCAGTACAGTGCATCATCTGGAGGTGGTCCAAACAGGTGCCCCCAAGAAGGGGGGACACACCAATGGGTAGTGGGTCCACTTTGCCCATCAACGCGCATACCTGCAACAGGTTGGGTGCGGAGCAGATAAACGGGAATGAGGCTTGGTCAAAATGGGAACCAACAAAAGAACCAACCGAGCAGGCCATGGCCCACTGCCTCCCTGCCACATATTCGCCCATGGCTTGGACACGTATCAGGAGGACAAGGGAAACTACTTACAATCCCCCATTTGTTAGATGAAACTGGAAGCAGATAAAGTTGGGATAGAAAAAAATGCATGGGAGGAAGCAGAAGGGCGGAGTCACAACAAGCACATACCATCCATGTTTTCAGAAAGCTCTGTGATCGACGGATCAGAAGCTCCGAGTAGGGATGTTGGCAGAAGTGGAGTGAGGCGCTCAGCTAGGTGGAAAGCATCTGGCACGTTGTCTCCCTCGGAGCAAAACACAAGGAGTGCAATAGAGGGGATGTTCACATCCTGTGGCAGTTGAGGGGGAGACAAGATGTGCAAAACGAGCATGCAAGTCACATACAGGAGAACGGAAGCGGGGAATCTCAGGTTAAAATAGGTGTTGCCAATGTCTCACAAGCAGTGCACAGCGAGGGAAGGATGAGACACATGCAAACACCACAGATGTCACAGGGAAAAACGCAACACCAACGACGAGATTCACACATCACCTACTCGTCTTACCTTCAGTGCTATGCAGATGCGCAGAAACGCAGCTTTCCACTTCAATCCTTGTTCGGGGCCCCACTCACCACCCCTCAAAGGCCCTGGGTCCTCTTCTCCCTCTTCCCCTGTCATAGCTGCCTCTACTTGCTCGTGCTCCATGTGGCCTTCATTCCCTCTCTCCCCTGTGCTCGACCCAGGGCCACCAGCAAGTGGAGCAGGCACGGAGGAAGCGGAGGGTAGGCCACCAAAGGGATCGCAGCTCTCTAACGGGCGCCAGCCAAGGGAGTGAAGAAGAGATGTGTTGAAAGATGCAGATCCCGAAGGAGTTGGCTCAGGCAAGGAGGATGAGGGAGAAGAGGAGGGCAGAGGTAGAGCTGGATCGATGAGCAGGAAACGGAACTGGTCCCTGTAGGGGGTGCGGGGAAGAATGTCAAAAGTTGGACTCACTGCACAAGGAGTGGAACGAACAGCTCAACTTGGAAAAGCATGAACACAGGCAGACATAAAAGACGTGGAGAACAGAGAAAGAGGGAAGATGTTGAGGAGGTGGAAGACGATGGGAGGAGAGGCAGAAACCATGCAATGATGTGGAGAAGAAAGCTGACAGAGACGGACATGGTCTTGATGGTGGACGTGCATCAACTAACCCGTCAATCTGCGAAGGCTGCCTCCTCTGTGCATCGGCTCCAGAGAGAACCACCACGCGGGAAAATGCTTGTGATGCAGCCCAGGTGGCTAGGTTGCACGAGAATTCCTCCATCTTGCCCTGAGGGTTCGTGGGAACACATGAATGAGGAGACTGATGGACGTGAAAGGAAATGAGACGACAAGGGACAATTCGTGCAGAGAAGATTCACTCGGGAGGTGATACAGGAGGGAGGTGGAAGTACCAATGTGTGTGTGCTGAGGGGGGCGGAAGGGAGGGACAAAAAAGAAAATGTCCAGCGTATATAAAGCTGGTGGGCTTTACCAGTGCCACTGGTGCTCTTTGTTGGATGACAGTGATGGCATCAGCGGATGACGAGGATGCTGAATCTGATTTTGGCACTGCGTGATAAACTGAGAAGCACCGTAATGCACGGACACGAGCATGAACAGCACACAAGAAGAGGGGAGACGAGCATGAGCAGCACATACGTGGGAGTGAGACGAGCATGAGCAGCACAAAATGGACAATTCCATGAGAGAATTAACTACGTCCGGTGCTTCAGCTGTGTGCGTGTGCAAGAGCGCGTGTGTCCTGGAGGGAACCAGATGGTCAAATTTATGTAAATTCAAGAGTCAGCACAGGACAACCACAATAGCCTGACGCTACAGCACAAAGGGGCTACAAGGTGGCTTGGCACACGGACCTTCCATGGCTGTTGTCAAGCTGCCCGATGCACTCTGTCCCTTTCCTCCTCCTCCTTTGCCTCCCACACTGTATGGGTCGTTTCCTGCACATGGCAGCACATTGGGCTCCTCCAACCACCCAGCCCGCGCGATGCTATAGCCTCCCTGGCCCTGTTGTTGCTGCTGCTGCTGCTGCTTCTGTAGCAGCGTTTCAAGGAGCAAGTCCACTGTAAGCTGACCCACGTTCCCCACAGACACTGAAGGCTGGAGAAATGGGACAGAAGAGAAACGAACGCAAGTGCTGACGAAGGGAAGAGAAAGTGCGAAGAGAGTGCGAATTGAACCAGACAGTAAGTGGTATTGTGAACCGTCATCGACGACCAGCACGTCATCCGACATAAAGGAGGATAATTAATCGACCCCAATCGAGTGGTGGCTGACACCGTCCAGCTCCCCAGCACTATCTCGACGCATCCAGAAGTTGAACGAAAGAAAAAAGGTGAGGCTCATGACTAGAGACAACTCGGTTAAATAGATGAATCCCTCCTGGAAAGAAGCTGCGACAGGTTGATTTCCAGAATCGACGAGAAGTTTCTGGCCTCGCAATCAACCACGCGTTTCCGGCTTTGCATCACAACCAGGAATCATCTGCTGGCCCACACTGATTCAGACTAGCTGACACATACCATAACAAGCGTCGATCCAGCGAACGGCTGCGGAGACTCCGGTAGATTCAGATCACGTGTCGCATCAGAGATGTCTCTAAAGAACTCCATCGCAGAACATAACCCAACTCGATGTGAGAGAAGATTTGATCATCAGTTACGTGAGCACAAAAAGCGCTGAAGTCCAAATCGACGCAGACAGGCCCCCAAAATGCTGACAGAATCCCCTATATAGAGAGATGTCATTGCACAAAATGCTGCATATACAGCAGACGCGATTGCGCTTTTCGCTACACTTGTGAAACATTTGCCTCATATGATGTTTATCCCACGCTACTCCAAACCAGCCCTAGGAATTGCAATTGCTGAGCAGGTGCTCCCGAGGTGACAAATCCCAGCAAGTAAGAACCGAGAAAGTGGACCAACACACTGGTGGCTGGTCATTCCTCCATTTGCTCGTTCAGCGAAACGCTCAGGCTTGCAGCGGAATCATGCGGACCGTATTTTCCGGTGATGGGAGGACACTGCGGGAAAGGGTATGCCTAAAACTCACGGAATTTGCCGCTGTTGCGAGCAAGTCTTTTCGCTCACCATTGCAAATGCGCAGGTGATGGATGCGATATTCCCCTCAAGAACAAAATGTTTCCACAAGACGAACCTGGAGAGTGTGTCGTCTGTCTATTCGAGCCTAGCTGGCTTCTTCCCGACAGTGAGCTCGCTGGAGGCATCAATTTCAAGACTCTCGAAGTCACTAGACGGTAAAGTAAAGCAGCCCGCCTGAGTCTCCTTCTGGAGAGAAAGGCTCTAATGGTGTTCATGTTCCAGGCGTCTTTGAAGCATCCCTCTCAGGGACCGCCGTTGAGCTTCCAGAGAAGCCAGGACCCACTGTTGTCTTGAAGGTTACAGAAAACGAGAATCACGGGCAGTCTATGTCCTCCCTACATGAGGCGTCTGCACCTAGTGAATCGGATATGGATACGAAGGGTTCCTCGACGCTTTTCTTTACCGACCCTTCTCTTTCGTCCGCCATAGAGACTTTGAGGTTGCAGCTGGTAAGTGAAAGTTGCTAGTTGGTTTCTGATGTCCACAGGACCATGCTCAAACATGTCTGTTCCAGGGTTCCGATCTGTTTCATGCAGCTCTCGTACCTCTGCGAACTTGGAAGGAATCTTTTGGTGCGCTTCCGGTAAGGCCTTCAGACAAGTTTAAGAAGCAACAGCTGTCTCTTTTGATTGATCAAGGGAATGTTGACTTACAGGGGAAACTCAAGCTCCTGGAAGCTCATGCGTATACTCACGACCTAAACCGTTATCGTCATAGCATCCTTGTCCAACGGAAGTGCTTCTATAAGGGCAGCAAGGCGGCCGAACAGAGGCTCCTAAGGCTGGAAGCGGTAAGCCTTTTTTTGGTTCATGTTGTGTTTGAAGGTTGTGCCACTTGCCATGACCATGGTTGCCTCGCAGATCCTGCAACAAGCTGAAATGAAGATGCGAGCGAGCAGAGTGGTATGTTGCAACTGCCTGGGGGGAACATGCTTATTTCAGGAATGGCGTCTGAAACTGCCTGTGTAAACTGACAGGCCTTTCTTACGCTTGAACGTGGTCTTCTTGAGGACATGGAACTCCTTTTGGCTGAAGCTCGGCGAATGCCTTCTCTCCTGACCCAGGCAAGCACCTGAAAGGCAAACCATAGTTCAACTCTGTGCTAAAACGTGTGATAACAGCACATGGTGTAAGTGCAGGTGTGCGGCACATGTAGCGAATCTCTGAAGCATCTGGAAAGCCTTGGTCAGACCATGGATCATACGGACTCAGAAGTTAAACGCCATTCACGTCAGATTCCTTGAGGTAACTGAGGGAAACTACTCTCTCGTCAATGCTGCATACTAGTACGGGATTGACGTGTCAATGCTTCGGTACTTGGATGTGTAATATTCTGCTTGATTTACAAAATTCAGACAAGCTTTTCTCTAAGCAGACGTTTGAAATCATCCCTCCTGTTTTAGCTCATTCCACCCCATAACTAATTTCCCTTTATTCCGTGGGCAATGCTTTACTACGATGTCAGATGTATCAACCACTTTACTGTTAAGAAAACTCGTGAATTCAGCACAATTCACACAGCGGGTACTCCCTACTCTGAAGCAGCAGGCCAGCAGGGCACTAAGGTCCACTCCAAGAATGCAAGCGACGCCTATGGTGGCTTGACTGGTTAACGAAAAAAGAACTCCGTTGCCTAAGCACCTTAGCTGAGCTCAGCATGCTGGTATCTCATCCTGTACTTCAACAGCTGCTTTCGGAGCCTATCAGCCTCCGCCACATATCACATGTTGAATACCCGTCCCCCAAAATCTGCTACTGCTGAGCACACTGCACTCTTGGCCCTGCATCATCCTCCTCCTCATACGCCTCCTGAGCCGCCTGTGCCTTCCTCCGCATCTCCTCCTCCATGTTCACATCATGCATTGTGGTCTCCTCGCAGTTGTCAAGCTCCATGGCCGACATTGCAGGTGCAGGTCGAGGTGGCAGAATCGTCTCCAGCTGGGCGCACTGCTCCGGTGTAAGGGAATCAGGGAACTCTACATTGAACTGGATGTAGAGGCGGCCCTTCATGAAGGGGCGTGTGTGCTGCGGCATACCCTCGTCGTTGATGGCCTTGAATTCCTCTGCAGGGAATGTTCAAATGGGGTGAGGGGAGATTATCAAGACAATGATTCAAATCTCTTGCCACCCGCATAAAAAAAAATTTGCGCCCTGACACAAATCAAAGACTGGACAGACAGCAAACGTTTCATGACATACAAGCAAGATAGAGCCATGGAACGTACTTGGCTTGATGATTTCGCCTGGAGCTGACTTGATAAGCAGCTGACGGCCGTCAAGGTGTGTGAGGGGGAACTGGAAACCGCAGAGAGCCTCCGTGAGAGTGAGGGTGTGGTCAATGAACAGGTCATCTCCCTTGCGCTTGAAAAAGGGGTGCTCCTTCTGCTGCAGCACAAACACAATGTCCCCGGTAACAGTGTCCGGCTGCACGGAAGAAAGACATACAGATAAAACCAGACAAGGATAAGGTGTCAGTACACAGTACAAAGCGAAGACAAATGAACGACAAGTGGACTTCATTTAACGAATCAAGCCAGACGAGAAAAAGAGCAGGGAAGCGCTCGTTTGAAAGAATGGAGGAAACGCACTGCTATCTTTGTGCAAAGGGCTCACCGCTTCATCAGCCTCTCCAGCAAAGGTAATCTTCTGGTTGTGCTGCATGCCCTTCTCCACATGCACGTCCAGCAGCTTCTTCTCCTGCGCCACCTTCTGCCCCTTGCACTGCCCGCACTTGTCCTTCTCGGAAATCACCTCACCTGGAGGTACAGCACCAAAAACCAGTCAGACGAGACTAGACTACCCAAGGACACGTACGCGTGTCAGTATTTCTTTGCATCCCGCCTGAAGCACTGCATGATACATACTGCACAGCACTGGCTCAACACCAACCCAACACAAAAGCAATGGTACAATGAGAGCAATTTCCCTAATTCGGTGCCTCGACCAGCTCTGATCTAACAAGCCCAAAACAGGTCCCCATGGGGCAAGAGCAGGGCATACCTGATCCCCGGCACTCGGGGCACACATGCTGCATTTGTTGGATCATGCTGGGCCCCAGCTGCCGGATGGAAATCTTCATGCCCGAGCCCTGGCAGCTGGCGCACTGGCTCGACGCGCCGGACTTGGAGCCCTTGCTGGATAGACACGAGACATGGGCAAGTGCGGAACACGAGAGGGGGATAGATAAGCAGGAGGCTGAAGAAAGGCAAGCAGACTTGGATGCTTCACCGAGCCTCGACTACACTTTTAGTGTTAATTAAGCGCGATCCATCACAAGCGTGATCCGAAAAGTCGCGCGTGAAGTTCTACGCATAGAAACTAAACGGCAACGGCTCAAAACAAACCAGTTCAAGCACCATCCAGCCATACCCCGAACCCGAACCCTAGCCCTACCAGGAATCACCACCCGCACTCACCCTTTGCACTTGGGGCAGAGCACATTGCGCGAGAGCGAGAGCTTCTTGGTGGTGCCGTTGTACACGTCCTCCAGGGTGACCTTGAGCGGGTGCACCACGTCCTCGCCCCGCCGCTGCCTCCTGCTGCCCCGCCCGGAACCTGCCAGACCAGGGGAAACACGGATCGGCAACATCAGCAACAACAGCGATATGAGCGACATCAGCGAAATCAGCGATAGCAGCGATATCAGCGACATCAGCGACAGCAGCAACATCAGGGACATCGGCAAGAAGGCATATGCCTACAACTGGTCTCCCTACAACTGGTAGATCCCGGGGGACGAGGACGGAGAAGGTCGGACGACGCAGGAGAGCGAAGCGTGAAGCCGCGAAACCCAGGAATTAAGGAGGAGAAAAGGCAAAACGCAAAAAGAAAGCGGGCGTCGCTGCGGAGTCGCGCACCGAAACTGCCGCCACCGAAGGGATGGCCGCCGGAGCCGAAGAAGGAGGAGAAGATGTCGAAGGGATCGTGCATTGGCCCGCCGGCCCCTTCCTTGAGAGCGTCCTCGCCGTACTGGTCGTAGATCTCGCGCTTCTCGGGATCGCTCAGGACCTCGTACGCTTGCGCCAGCTCCTTAAACTGCGGGATTTGGAGGTTAATCGGTGCCGAGATTGGGAAGAGGAGGGCGAGGGAATTGGGGGTGAGGAAGGGCGAGAGAGGCCGAGAGAAAAACGCTTGCATGTTTGTGATCCGAGAAAGAGGTGGGAGAACGAGAGCGAGCAGCAGCAGCATGTGATCGGCGCGAGACAGAAGCACTCTCGTCAGGCAGTCAACGGACTGGGAACCATAGAACTTGAAGGAAAGGACGACGATTAATTACGGTATACTGCACTCGGTTCTTCCAATATTTGAGCGAATATTCGATTTGGGTCGACGACGAAACAGAGTTTATGGGCTTGTGTGGTCGAATGGGAGGAAGGTTTCAGCGATACGTGAGCAAGAGAACAGAGATAGAGGGGAAAGGGCGGGAGCGAGGGGGAGTGGGGGGTCGAGAGAACGAGAGATAGTTGGAGGGGGGAGAGAGAGGGAGGGTAAAGAGAGAGGGAACAGGAGTGAAGAGTTGGAGGGATTTAAGATGCGCTTACCTTCTCTGGATCACCGCCTTTGTCGGGATGGTTCTTAATCGCCGCCTTGCGGTAAGCCTTCTTGAGCTCATCCGCCGAAGCGCCTTGCGGCACGCCGAGAACCTCATAGTACCGCGTGTTGTTGCTCTTCTTCGACGGTTGCCGAAACATCTTCCCGCCTCCCTCTTTTTAGACTGAATAGAAGTCAGAACCCGCAGCGGCGAGCTCGAAAAGGTCAGACGACGGAGACACCAGATCCTCGGCGTGCAGAAAACGGCAAGCTACCTGCCAGCCTAAGAACAGCTGAAGCCGCTGTGATTAGCCTCAGTCGCCGGATCCGTGGGAGTTAGATCTGGAAAGAAAAATCCCAGGTGGTGAGGGAAGGAGTTACGTCGTCTGGTCGTGACTCGTCGTGAGGAGGAGATCGACAGACTGCTGACGGAATAAACACGAAAAGTTCCCCTTTACGTCAGCGTCGCTATGCGCCACTGGTGCGGTCGTATGGGGGAAGCAGCGCAAATGTCTCCGGCGACCAACCGAGGCTGTCGACGGGAGCCAATCAGAGGCGTTCAGTGGTTGGGGATGCCTGGTTCGGGTCCGACAGTACGCTGTGAACTGCCCGAAGGTATGGTGAGGTGAGAGGCTCGGGGAGATTCGGGGCAAGGCTAAAGTTTCCTGCGCTGGGAGATGAGTGTGTTCAGCCAAGTTTTATGCCTTTGAAAGAATGCTCGGGTTTTAGCCAGTCGGGTTTTTCGTTGGTTGGGACTGTAAGCCTGTGGGTGACGAGACTTTGCGAGAGTTCGCGAAGATTTCGTGCGACGCGGTGGGAAAAGTTCTTGGCTCGAGAACGGAAAGAACCTTCTAGAGGAAGTTCGATCAAGCCAATAAAGATTTCCCCCCTGCCCGATCACAGGGGGTCGATCACTGGACAGATTCGAGATAGGGTACACCGTCATGGAAAGCCATCCATCACTGGAAACATGCTGTATGCCGAAGCGAAATGTTCGAAAAGGCGAAAAGGCCGAGCCAATTTCGCGATCGCGAATGTTCTGGTGGTGCAGTGGAAGTGTGGGGTTTGAAATTTTGCCACGTGGATGGGTCGACGCACACCAATTCGCCAGGGAGGAACTTTCCAGAAACTTCATACTCGCGCTATGCAGTTGCAGAATGGCGCATGTGCCACAAAATGGAATTTCAAAAGGAGTGTGCAACGGTTCAAAAGGCTACAAGTGTCCGCGTTCTTCAAGCAACCGAGTGGTCATTTGATACTTAGCATGTAAGTCATCTTGCCTTCACCAAAATTATGTAGCTAGACTCATGCAAAAACCCAATGGAAGTTGAGTGAATTGTCATGTCAGTTTGCTGCTCAAGTCTATGAGAGGGAGGAAGGGGATGCACCATACTAGATATAACAATGATTTCTTTGACAAATGCCAAGAAATGAATGATACTTTCATGCCATATCATCTTGTTTATGCCCAGAAGCATATGAATTATGATGGCCCTATAGAAGTGAACCTCAAGCAACATGATTGTACGTTATGAGTCCTTAATAATTCCCTCTCCAGGTATAAGTTGTTGTGGTAAAATCGTACTTAAGCATTTCTGAAAGTAGTTCCGATAGATATTGTCGAGTTACATTGTAGATAGCATCCGTAGAATGACGTCAGCAAATAGTGCTCTTCTGGATGGTTACGTCAGCAAGGCGTTTCATAACAAAATCAGAGAAGTGTTAGTTGATAGAGTGAGAGTACACACAGACATACCTAAGTCTTGTACCCTCTAAGAGATGACCCTATACAGTCTATACAAACATGACAATTACACATGTTTGACACACCCCCTAGACTGCATAGGGGAATGTCCTAAACAAGCAGCTCAGGGCGGCACTACTAGTCCAACTTCTGAGACAAGGGTCTGAGAGACCAGTCAGAAGGAGTACAGACAAGGCAAGAACAAGAGCAGGGCGGCACTACTAGTCCAGCCACTGGGAGAGGACACAAGTCCAGTCTGAGTATACATATAAAGGACAGTACAAAGTCAAGGTCCTAGAAAGTGAGAGGCTACAGGAACTAGACCAAGCTGTACACAGTGCCGCTGATGATCTTTAGGCGCAAGCGCCTACGCAAAGATATCAGCCGTGTTGGCACCTGAGGCCAAGTGTACTACGCGAGCCTGACGTCACTGCTGTAGCTCACGCAGGAGAAAGTACCGCAGCTGAATGTGCTTCGCTCTGCCCTCAAGTCGAGGCTCCTGGCACAGGAGGATCATGGCCCTGTTGTCAGCGAACAGGACCGGGGCAGAGCTAGGCCGCTCACCTAAGTCTGTGAGCAAGAAGGTCAGCCAGCGGAGCTCCTGTGCCGCCATGGCACCAGCGTAGATCTCAGCCTCACAGCTGGACTGCGCAACAGACGAGGAGCGGGTAGCTCTCCACGAGACGGCACCTGAGCCAAGGCTGAAGCAGTAGCCCTGGGTAGACCTGAGTGTCTCGGCGTCGTCTGCCCACGAAGCGTCTGTGTGTCCAGTAAGGACCACTGGCCTGCGTCCTCCTAGCACTAACCCCATGCCCGATGTACTAGCAAGATAACGCAGAACCCTCTTAGCGGCAGACCAGTGCTGCGGTCGGTGTCTGCCTGTGGCCACAAAGCACGCCAGGATGCTGAGAGGGTATGCGAGATCTGGGCGAGTGCAAGTCATCAGGTACATGAGGCAACCCACCAGCTCTGCGTAGGGGCCGCTGGGCTCTACCAACTCCTCAGGTACTGGAGCGGAGAGTCTGTGGTCTACAGGCAGAGGGGTGGGCTGTGTAGAGGAGAACTGAAGGCTGAACCTCTGAAGGACCTGGCGCACCAAGTGTGACTGAGTCAGGGTGATGGTGCGCGATGCTCTGTCCCTGGAGATCTGCAAGCCAAGGTAGTGGCGCAGTTCTCCAAGGTCAGTGCACGTGTGTCTCTTCAGCAGCTCTGCCTTCACGGAGGCCAGTGCGTCCCTGTCTGCTGTGGCAAAGACCAGGTCGTCGACGTAAACAAGGATGTAGAACGGAGTCTGGCCAGAACGAACGAAGAGTGAGGGGTCTGCGGAAGACAGAAAGAACTGCAGATCGGCAAGCGTAGCACGGAGAGTGTCGTGCCACTCACGGGGAGCCTGGCGCAGGCCGTAGACGGGGCGCCGCAGGAGCCACTGGGTCCTAGTAAAGCCCTGAGGGCGACGCAAGTAGACCTGCTCGTGTAGGCTACCCTGAAGAAAGGCTGTGGAGAAGTCGAGGGAGTGAAGCTCGTAGTCACGCTGAGCAGCTATGTGTAGCAGAACCCGAAGAGTAGTCATCTTCGGGGTCGGAGCGAAGGTCTGGAAGAAGTCCACCCCCTCGCGCTGACTGAAGCCTCTAGCCACATAGCGCGCCTTGAAGACCGGCGGCCCTCCAGGAGGGCGCTTCACCTTGAAGAGCCAGCGGGCATCGACTACGTTCACCCCAGGTGGGGGAACTGCGTCGACAAAGGTGCCGGTGGATCTCCAAGATGCCATCTCCTGCTCCATGGCAGCTATCCACTGTGAGGCCTAGGGTCCCGAAGTCGCCTCAGCGTAAGTGCGAGGGGTCGGGATGTCGAAAGCGTCTGGGTCACCCTTAGGGACTAACAGCATGGAACAGAGATGGGGAGCAGCCTCGGAGAGGAAAGCAAGCTCGAACTGGCGGTCCTCCAGGACGTCACTGCCACGAGAAGGAGCACCCCCGACAGACGGAGGACAGGCAGGGTCAGAGACCAGAGCTGTGGCGTAGTCAAGGCGGCGGGTAGAGGCGAAGTCAGCGACAGCAGCGACAAGAGCGTCAAGGCACGAGACCGGAACAGACGGGTCGGTAACGAGAGAGGCAAGGACCCGAGGCACAAGGGGACGAGCGACACGAAGGTAGTCAGACAGCGGGGGGGGTGCGACAACAAGGGAGGACGGAGGAGGCGACGGCAGAAGGGGAGGACGAGACGCGTGGGAACGAAGCAACATAGGGTGGGAGCGCAAGACAGGCGAGGCAGGACGAGCACGGGAGGGACGGTGAGACCAGACGTGCGACGGAGGAGTCGGGTCAGGAGACAGGGGAGGTGACACAGGAGGGGAACGAGGGGGGAGACAGGCCGGGAACGAGTCCGGTGGAGGGAAAACAGGGCCGTAGACAGGAAGAGGAGGAGACGGCCGGGGAGGAACAGACGCAGGGTCGGGTGACGGAAGGCCGAGCAGGCGAAGGGCTGACACCGGCGGGGACTGCTGCTGCGGCGGCGCAACGGCGACAGCTGGACCGCAAGCTGCTTCTCGGCTACCACCGGCACTCTCCACACCAGCACCCCCAGAGGGGCCACCCCAAGGGCGACCGGGACGAGCACCCACAGAGTCAGCGAACGGGGGCCGCGACGGCGGCGGCGGCGGCGGCTGCGACAACGACGGCTGCAGCGGCGGCAGAGGCGGTGGAGGAGGGGACTGGGGAGGGGACACCGGGGGAGGAGCAGCCGGCGAGGACTGCACAGGAGGGCCACCAGAGTAAGAGGACTCCTCAACCGGGGCCGCCGACGGAAGGGGGGTGACGTGGGATACACCAGAGGGGGCGGGATGGGGAGGAGGAGGAGGAGGGGCAGGGACTACCGGGGAAGGAGTGACCAGGAACAGGGGGGGGGTAACCTGGGGACCACAGTGGGGGAAGCGACGGTAGTAGGAAACGGACTCGTCAAAGGTGACGTCGCGAGAGTGAAAGAAGCGGTGAGACGGCGGGTGGTAAAAGTGCCAGTCGGACGCGTCCAGAGGAAAATCGAGGAAGACGCAGGGAAGGGTGCGGGCAGTGAGCTTGTCCGTGCCGGAGGCACGAACGTGAGCAAGGCAGCCCCAGACGTGGAACGCAGACGCGTCACCAGGAGACCTTGTCCAAAGACGGGTCGGCGAAACCTGCGGCTGCTGAGGGTGCGGCCACAAGTTAAGCTGGTGAGAAGCGTAGCGCACAGCGAACGGCCACAGAAAATGGGGTGCACCGGCATGGATCATGGAGGTGCGAGCCACCTCCATGACCAAACCGATGCGTCGCTCAGCGACCCCATTCTGCTGTGGGGAGTCCGGTAGGGTGAACGTCTGGGTGATGCCCTCCGCACGACAAAAGCGACCAAGGACACATGAGGCAAACTCGCCACCACGGTCTGAGTGAAGACGCAAGACAGGGAGACCGCGGTGGACACGCGCAGAGACAAGCCAGGGGATGAGAGCGCCAGGCACGTCGGCCTTGCGCTCCAGGGGAAAGACTGTGGTGTAACGAGTGAAGTCGTCGACGAGCACAAGGAAGTAGCGCTCTCGACGCGGCCCAGGGACGGGGGAGGGGCCCCAGACGTCCAGGTGCAGGGTCTGCAGCGGCGCGGCGGTAGGGGGAAACGAGGAGGAGTGAGGGGCACGGCGAAGCCGA